AAGAAGTTACGTAAGATTTCAACATGTGTACCAGGACACGTGGAAGTTTTTCTGGAGGTGAAAAGTCTTGGGGGGTGGGGAAAGCCACACTAACATCATAAAACAAAAATATCCCTTTCAGACCTTTCAGAATTATTTCCTCCCTATCACACACAGAGACCCCTCTCTTTTAGGGGTAGACTAGGGCTAAAGAGCTTTACTTGGTACCATGTCTTTCTACCACGCTCTGAGGAATAGGCCCTCCTAAATGCCATATGAGCGATGAACTAAAGACAAAAGGAACACTTAAAAAGAGTCAACACAATTGGTAGTTTTGTTTTTTTCTTTTTACTCAAAAAGTTGTTTTAACCATCAAATTTTGGCAGTTACAAACCTGTACACTGTTTTTTTGTTGTTTTTTATTTTGGCTGTCTTGTTTTCTGTTTGCTTTTTGTTTTAATTTTTTTAAGAAAAAACACAAGACTGAATACTGCCACCAGCAATATATGCAGGAACAATCCATTTCCTTAAAGGACACAATCCACTGTAAGTGTTAGCTTTCCCCATTGCATAAGGTTTGGTGTGTGATGTGTGTGCAAGTTCAGGTGAGTGTACAGTGTATGAAGAAATGACATACCTCATTGTGACACTGAAATTGCATAAAAATAAAACACTTAACTGGGCAAAACATTCATTTTTTACAAATGTCAATAAAAACATTTTTCTTGAAAACAGAGAAAGTTAAAACAGAACCAAAGAAAGGTTACAGTACATTTTGAAATGATTAAACATTTTCAAATCTAAAATCCTGTGTGTGTGTGTGTGTGTGTGTGTGTGTGTGTGTGTGTGTGTGTGTGTGTGTAGTTACCTCAAAAGTTTGCAGACCAACAGCGTGAATGACCTAGAATTATATTCGACCCCCCAAATTAAAGCATCCTGATAGGCATCAAATAGAGTATCTACAAAAGCCTGGAAAATTGAAACCACTTATATACAATTTTATAAACATTTTAAACACCAAAACATACATCTTTTACAAACCAGCCTGTTTGCAACAGGTAAATGTACAAGACAATCTCTCTGATACAGTGCTTAAAAAGAACTGCTTCCATTTCCAAACACATTTGCCACTCCCAAAATGCAGTAGTGTGGGCTCATAAGATTGTTAAATAGTAGCAATTCAGGTACCAAACACGCTCCAAATGACTATACAATTCTCAAGTGCATCCTAAACACTGGAAGAGACTAATTATGGCCTTTTTGTATTATTACCCACTTGTAATTATTGCTTTTCATTATTACATAAGAAAAGAAATATTCTTTTCCTATCTTTTAGCCAGCAGGCTAAATATTAACTGATGCCAAACCCACAAATGGTGACTTGAAATCCCAGCATTACACAACCAGAAGCTCAAAGACATTGTGGATTTTCATCAGAATAATGTGCAGTTGAACACTGGGACACAAACCAGCAAAAACATAACCTTCTCACAGAGCACACAAAATGATGACACGGAATCAATGCCTCTTCAAATCTCCATTTCCCATGGTTTGAAACTAAAAACATAAAACATTAAAGCCTAACCACTTTAGCAATACCTGTGCACTGGGAAGGCAGTGGAGTGAAGAGCCAGACAATTACCTGGACAATCCATGCAAAATGAACACGAGATCTTCCTGAATTACTTCACATAAAACTGTTTTCTGGATCTTTAACGATTTATTTTGATAATCTTTTCTCAATTCCCCTGACTTTGATGATGCAAACATAGCATCAGTGGGAGTAGTGGGTAGGGTGGGGTGGGACGTATGGAGGGGAGAGCTGATGGTAGATATGTTCTATTTGCTGTTTTTTGCAGAATGTGCTAGTGATTTCCAAGGGACGTTCCAGGCAAATCCCAGAAATTAGTTCCCTTTCTAGGCTTTCACATTGATCCCTAATTGGACGAACCTCAAAGCATGGATGACCTACTCATGTTACTAAGTCTTTTATATGGCATTTCATGAATAGGCAGGACAAGGGTATATGGAAAGCTGGCATAGTCTAGAACGCAGCAGCAAAAATATTCATAGAGGAAAGGGAATAAATGAAGCATGCACTTTATTCACCTTTTACTACCCACAAGCTCTTGCTTACTACATGACGACCACCAAGAGTCTAGCTATTCTCAACCTAACCAGAATGTGTGCAATACTAGTAAAGTGCCTACAACAAATTATGGGAAATGGCTTCCAGGAGGTGGCACATAGATGTTAGAAAAATGAGAAATACGCTAATTGATGTAAATGTTTTCCATATGGTTCATCGTGGTGGAGGGGGTAGGACAAACAGTAGTCGGTGGGAAGAAAAAATGCAAAACCAAAACCAAAAATGCAACCAGTAGGTAACAGTAAAATCAAAGTTTAACTATAACTGATGACTGGTCTGAGCCAAACTCTGTAATTATCATTTCATCCATATTACACAAACATTCATTTGGCAAAAGCAGCATTTTGATGAATGTCTAAAGAAATGTGAATTCTATACCCCAGTCCTCTTCCTGGGGTGAGGGTGGGGGAGAGGGGAGTTGTAAGGAAACATAAGCTCATGAGGCTTCCAGAAAAATACTCTCCATGAATTTTCTTTTATAGCATACTCCAAAGCAGGAATGGTGGAAGTTGGAGGGTCTATTAAAACCAGGTGGCTCCCATGCTCATGGTAGGGTAGGAGTGAACAATATGATGTAAAGAGAATACTGGATAGATGGAGGGGTGCTAGTCCTTGTTAAGCTAATTAACTTCCTCTGTGAGCTTGGGCAAGTCCCTTCCCCTCTCTGGGTATGCTTTGTCTTTGATAAGGAGGTTGGACTAGCAAATAGGACCCTTCCAGCTTTTTAAAATCAGTGGTCATCTCCACCTAGTGGCATCTTGGCCTGACTGCAAAGCATGTCATAATCTACAGGGAAACCTAAGTTTCCAAAAAGTGAAGAGATATCATATGTTTAAAGATAACGAATCAAAACATAACACATACTTGCCTGGTATATATTTAGCTGCAGAGCTTTTCTACAGAAAATCGGGGGACAATACCCCAAAGAAAAAGGTACTTTATGTAGGTCACAGCAAAGGGTGGCACGATTTTCTTCAGTGACTTCACAACTGCATTAGGATCTATCTATTCTTTGAGTCAGTCAGGCATTCTCCCTTGAAGAGATGCTGTGTAAGCAGTAGTGACTGATCGGTGTTAATCTCACTCTAATATTTCCTAGGGGCAAGAAATGAATTGTTGGTTTTACTTCGAGGGTTTTTATGTCGTTGCATTACTAAAAGTGTAGCTGTGACTCTATTCTAGACCATTAGTTTGTCATTTTTTTCCATGATTCTTGCAAATGTGCTTCTTACATAAGAAAAATACCAAAGACTATTCTTAAAAGCAGCCTTAGTGAAATTCACTTATTTCAAGACCACAGTGTGGATAATGCCTCCATGAGTAGGTCTGACCAAGAGACAGGAAGAGAAAGGCTAAAAAATCTGAAGTGTATCCACTTACTTAGAAAGTTCGGGAATGAAAAGGGATTTTTTTTCTTTTTTTTCCATAAACATTCAGAAACATTCCTAAACAGAAGAAAGTGGATTAAACACAACTGAAACAATTAAAAATACATCTGAGTGAATGATGCACAGACTCGGGACAGTTTACACACCAATGCCATATGTCATCAGAAACTGTGGAGACAGATTTGCTCATTAAGCAGATAGTGCAAATATGCATATATTTACCATGACCACTGCACAGGCAGCCATAATCTGATTGAAGTAAAGGAGGAAAGTCACTTGTCAACTTTGTTTTGAGGGCTAAGTTATATTTCCAGTGGAATGATTCTCCTATTAATTTTGGAAAATTAAGGCCAAAGCCTATAGATGAGAAGGGAATCCCAGGGTGTAATCAAACATTACACATTTTAAAAAGACAGGTTAGTTCTGGAAAATTACAACAAAATACTGTTTTTAAAAAGCACAGTTTCAGGCCAGGCACAGTGGCTCATGCCTGTAATCCCAGCACTTTGGGAGGCTGAGGTGGGCAGATCACAAGGTGAGGAGTTTGAGACCAGCCTGGCTGACATGGTGAAACCCTGTCTCTACTAAAAACACAAAAAATTAGCCAGGCATGATGGCACATGGCTGTAATCCCAGATACTCGGGAGGCAGAGGCAGGAGAATTACTTGAACCCAGGAGGCGGAGGTTTGCAGTGAGCTGAGATCGCACCCATTGCACTCCAGGCTGGGCAACAGAGCCAGACTTTGTCTCTAGAGAAAAAAACAAACACAAAAAGCGCAATTTTGCTTTAAGTTAATATAATTGGCCGTACCAAAATAAAGTTAACTGGAGTAAAATATGGCATTTGATGTTTCTCTAACACCATAGAGATGAGAGAAATTGAAAGATATGCCATGCTCGCTGGCAGGATTTTCAATGTGGTCCATTTCCCAAAACCTTCACATTAGCTTTCCTCAAGAGCAGCCTTACTGAGTGCAAGCACGTATTTGTACATAGGCCCAGACACACACACACTCCTATAATTTATACACAATAACTAGTCTACTTTATTCTTTCCTTAACGTAATTCTATTTATAATGGTGACACTACCGATTTAGAAAAACAAACCTTTTCTTGGCATCATCAAGAATTGTGATTATCTAGGCTGTAAACTTTGAAGGTATTTTTCTTTTTTTCCCCTGGAATTTGTGAGTTTTGCTTAACCTTCTAAAGATATCTCCTTTTGGAGAACCTGTACAAACAAAGCCAATTTCTGCAGCAATACGAGATTTACCAACAGGAATATTTACCAGAAAACGCAAAACAAACCAGATAATCACATTCTTTCTAATGTTCAAACAACTTTAAGCTCCTCCCCCACCCACCAAATGGAACCCAAAAAGCCTCCTGTTGATCTTCATTGACACCTTTCTCGAAGATCATAAAACCCAACTATATTAGATAGGATGCTTAACACAAACAAATAACTGGGCATACTAAACATGTTATTCAAACCTAATTTTATAGCTGAAAATCGGGCAGCTTATAAAAAAAAATAGTTGCTTTAAAAGGCTTCAGCCCACTTTCTTGTTTAATAAATTTCTCTTTTCTTCTGCCTAAGAGACTAACTTTCCCAAGTAGTAGTCACTACTACTATTTTCATTTCATTGGCTCAAAATTAATGCAACAATGCCTCTTTGTTGCCAGTTTTTAATACTGCAAGGACTGATGCTGTAACACTTTCCAGGGCACAATACTGCTCAAAGCCATACAAGACTTGCATAACCTAGTGGGTGAAATGATTTTTCCCTCTTTGAATTTTTAGCCATGAACACATGTACCCACATCAAGGATTACCAGTCACCTCTCAAAAACAATTTGAGTCTTTCATTTTTGCCCAACTGGAATCACGCTTGCTTGCTGGGACAGCATGACTTGTGAAGAAGTTTCTCGTGGAAAATACCGTGTTCCCTTCTCATTCCACAGATGACTCACCACTGAGACACGAGCCCAGCCAATCGGCTTCCACTTTTCTGTAACAAACAGGGTGAAGTACCCAAGATGTGGTATCTACACTTGAGTCTGGTGCTGAGTCTCCACAAAGGGAATGTGAAGGCTGGCGAGGCTGAGCTCTCCAACGCTCTCGTAGTCACTCATGGCTACTTCGGAATCGTCAAAGCCGCAGTTGGCTGACACATCTGAGGATGAGGTGCCTCTGGAATTGTGCAAGGACAGAGACACGCCATCTGCTGGGCCTGTGGCCTCCGTGCCCTGGTTCATGCTCACGGCAAAAGTACTAAATTCACAGCTGGCAGGCGGGCCCACCAAATCCGTTTCATTGGGGAATGGGTGAGGAGGGAGGTACTGGCTAGGATGGAACTGGGGCCTTCTCCTGCAGTCTGGGCTCAGTGTGCTGGCCAGGGAGACAGGCTGGGAGGGTGGCAGGGCCTCATACTGGTCCGGGAAGTCCTCCGGGAGAGGAGGAGGCAGCTGGTCCTGACTCAAGAACTCCTCTTCATGAGGGGGTGGGTATTCATTGTCAATATCATATCCACCCAGGTAGTAATCACTCTCTAGCTCCCGTGTGCTGCCCTGGTGTACAGACCCTCCATCCTGGTTCTCATAGTTGGGCACTTCCTCTATGTCTGACAGCCGGGCCCCTGGCATCCAGTCAGAGGTGTCCCAGTGATAGGCTGCAAGAGAAAAACCAGGACAGTTAATTTCCTCTAGACTGGAGTTGGCACATGGCTGGGAAGGAAGCGCAGAGAGACCTGACATGCAATTTTTGGCATCCAAGAGACCCTAAGAAGCCAGGGTTATCCGCATGCTGCTTACAAGGATCTGTGGGGCCAGCCATGCTTTGGCCTGCAGAGAGCAAGACGATGGCAACTCTGACAGGTGTTGCCTGGTAGCTGCAGAGCCTCACACTCAGCCACGCCATGAGGGCACACTGAGGAGACAGTTCCAGGACCCCGAACACTGTCCCCACAGCCTCTTCCTAGCCACATGCTATTGCAGAGCCAGGCTGGCAACATGCTTGCAGAGAGGTCCATCAGCTGCGCTGTGGACCGCAGGAGGCAGGAAGGCGTGCAGGCAAATTGGTGAAACACACGCACAGGGGATGAGGCTAGGAGGGGAATGCTGGCAGAGCTTTCACCTCCAAAACTGAGCACATGAAACACCTGAGACATGCAAAATTCACATCAGGGAAGAGGACAGGAACAGGGCAAGAATGAACTCGGGAATTCAAAACACACAAATAAGAAGTTATGCTAGGGTTGGGGCACAGTCACCTCGGTTGTAGTTCTGTCCTTGGTCCATGACAGACACTGTTTAAATACAAAGTGAAAAGTAAAACTGACAATCCAAACCAAGAGGGATAATACAGAACATTTGAGATGACTTAAAAACATGCTCCTTAAAGGCCTATGGGCTATGACTAAGTTTAGCCTTTATTTCCCCTTATTGTTAAGGGGAAAAAAAAACAGATAAAGCACATTTATGCCTTGATTTTATTAAGTTGCTAATAGTTACCTGACTGAAATAAGTATCCATAATATTGTAGCTCTGAATGATTTCTTAAATTCCCAGCTCATAATAGGTGCTCAATGAACAGATGTTGGATATAAAGACAGATTTAGTATTAATCTGGATTGTGACTAATTGGGTACTCTTGTAAGAAATTTTATAAAGAGTACCCCATTTTTTTTTAAAATTAGGAACTAATTTTTTTTTCCCAAAATTATAAAACAGATCCATAGAGAAATACACCACATCTCACTAGAAACGAGCTGTTTACTGCCCCCTCTGTGGGCCATTCATTAAAATCACTCCCAGTCCAAAGTAACAAGAAAGCAAAATTTCAAGAAATGCTGTAGAAGAAAATAAGTAAATACCTTCATTCTCTATAGTGTCAACTACATTGTTGACAAGCTGAATGACAGTCACTATGGAGGCTTGTGGTCAGGAAAAGAAGATGGGAGGGAGAGGAAGGACAGCTTCAGGTTAGTTGTGTTTTTTAAACATATGTTAACTTATTTTAACAACAACAGCAACAAGGTGCAGCACGCAAACACCCAAGGCCTCCCCACAGTCTGTTAGGGAATATATCAGTGGACACCTTTCTCTAGAGGGTCCTGAAATTCACGGAATGCAAGAGAAATGGCAGCAAATCCAAGGCCAGTCCTCCTGAAAGGCAGGATCGGTCATGATTGCTGGGTCATAAATTCATCCCTCATGGTCCAGTAAAATCAATTTAGGAAGGCAGTGGCTCATCCAGCTCATGCTAATTTCTCATTAGCAACTCCCAAAGGCTCTCAGAGGAAGACCTCACTATTCCCGGGAAAAATTATTTGTTGGTCAGTCATGCTGCTCTGAACCAAATGCCAGTGATGGAGGATAAGCTTTGCAGGACTGATGGCTTCACGGTCACATGATGCCACCGACAGCCCCAAGTGACCCAAGGCCTAGCCCCCACCAGTAAGGTGTGGACAGAAGTCCGCATTTGGTTTCTCAAATAGAATACAGGAGATCTCTGGTCTATATTGGGTTGCCTTAATGCTCAGTACAGCAGCTTGTGGAGAGGTGATCAGGCTTAAAACCAATTTGATGAAAGTTCCCAACACTACCTGCCTCATTTGGGACAAACTTAGAATGTTAAGCATAAAAGGGCAAGTACGTGATCTTCAGGGTGCACACCACAGAGCCCATAAGAACAGCTAACCAGGCATCATGGCTGGAGTTGCTGCCTGGAGTCTGGACTCTCTTCTTAAGTACAAACTAGCCACAGCTTTTCTACTGGCTGGGGAGGAGGAGAAGAGGCTACATCAAGGCAATCAGATCTGGGGGTGTGTCTCTGACTTTCTGATAATGGTCAGAAAAAATTCACTGTTACAGGATTTGTTGTCTCAGCAGACAGATAAACTGATGCTTGGGTACTTGTCAGAAGTTCCAGCATTTAAAGTGATGACGAAAAAAGGCTCTTACTTGTATGATTGCTTGCTATGGTCTTGAAGCTCACCTGGTTCTGTATTTACCTTGGAGGCCAGGGCTATGCCTTTTTCATTTTGTACTCTGGATAAAGGACTCAGCACGTGGAAAAAATTCAAGGGTTTATAGATTGAATGATTACAGAAATTAATAAGTATCCATTTGTTGCTAGTTGCTGACAAATGGGAAAATGACCTAAGGTAAGGCTGCTTGTCTCTGGATGACTGTTTGAAAATATCCTTGGTTAACCACTACACGGAAAACACTCACTGTTTTATCACTGTTCCTGCTTCCCTCCTCTGCCCGGGGAAGAACAACCCATCCTCTGAAGCTGGCTGCTCAGCTCAGAAAACCCAGTCCAGCATGACAGTCCCCATGCTGTTTGAGAGGCAGAGGTGGCTTTGGAGTGTGAACAAAGTCTGAGAGCCATGAGAAACTGCATGCAACATTTTGGGTGTATGTACATTTTTCTAAGAAGCTGTCTCATAGTTTTTAATGAATTCTACAAAAGCCCATAACCCCAAATAATTATAAGGGGGATTCAATTGAATGAAGATTCCACTGGTTCTATAAGAAGGTTTTTGTCTCTGAACTAATTTCTAATCAGGGTGAGGCTGGATATACAGTGAAGCGGGAAGAACTCATTGGAAAAATTAAAGAAAAAATTGGTTTGCTAGGGAATATCATTTGGGAGGAAACAGTTCCACCATGAACCAAATCAAAGAGGACTCACTGCTGGAGGCCCAGGGTAACTTCATCAACCCCTGATACAGAGCTCTGGGCCTGCTCACAGCTTCAGCTCAATTGGGGGCTCCTTTGACAATGACACCCAATAATGGGGTAAACCAGGAAGCTGGTGAACACGCTCAAAAGCTTATGAACAAAGCCAGTTGCATCACCCTCCTCCCAACCACGGTCTTCCAGAACAGGAAGCAGAACCCACTGGCTCGGAACAAATCTAATGACTTCTTACCATTGTCGTCACCAGAATCTGACTGGAAGGAGCTGAGGGACTGAACTTCAGAGTTGCTGCCTTTATTACTGCCTGCAAAGCAGGTCACTTCTCCTGGGTCATCAACACCTTTGTCTTCATGAACAGCCAAAGAGAAAGCAGAAATAACACTGGTTACCTTGTCCCTATTTCCAGTCCTGCCCACCCGTCTCCCACCCAGTTCACTTCTTGACGCTCTTTCGTTTGCTTAGAGAAAATAATTTAGCTCCACAATAGAAAATTGATTGTGCCATTGGGGGCAAAGTTTTCTCAATCAAGTAATTTACATTATGGATTCGAAACCCTTAGCCCATAGTAAATGAGCTTCCAAACAGCTGACAGCCAAAAGTAGCTGTTGCCTTCTCAAAGTGAAGCGACTGAAGAGTGAAATGAGAATGAAGGGGGTGCATTGCTCTTTGCCATTCAGAGTTAATTTAGATCACTTACATGAACTGATGAGGTGTCAACACCAGGTTAAATGAGATTACTTTTAAAATAGGGTTATAAATATTTTATAACCCAAGAATGCCTTTACATTTATCCTAACTTCCATCTCTGGACAGTGAGTGGAGTTTTCAGCTTTGTCTTCTAGAGGGCAGCATTGTATCATTTTTGGGAGTGACCATGTTCCCCACCCTGTGTCAAGTAAGGCCAGCAGTGGTGTGGATATGCCCTTACCCACATATGTCTTCCCTCTTTGCTGTACAAAGACAGCAACACAGATGTACCTGCACATGTGTGCACGCGTGCACACACACACACCAGGCCTACTTTCTCATTTGATGGACTAATAGAAGCAATAAAAACAGCCTCTATCTTGAGATTGTCAAGTGCAAAATGCATTAGTTGCCCAGAAATTCTCACCAGCTAACTCTGCCTTGCTTAACAAAGAAGGAAATGTATTCAATACAACCCAACAATACTTTGAGGGGAAAATGTGAGTTTCACCCTGAGATGAATTCTGGAAACTGTCACATCAGGAAGTGGGGAGGGCAGTGATCACCAGGAAAAGCTGCAAATCATCATGGAATGCAATGGTATAAAGAGATGCAGACTTGTGATTAAGAGAACATTTGCTCGTCTTTGTGGCCACAGAAATCACGTTTCTTGCACAAAAGATGATGTCAGGAACAGGCACGGTAGTTCTGCAACTGCTTTCAGAGGCTGAGGCCACAGTAAAGCACCAGAGCTGGATAAACAACCCATGCAAGTGGAGAGAGATTCCAAGGGAGAAATTGACCTCCTAACAGCCACATTGCAGAAAATGTAAAAATGCGCTTCAGACAAGCACAGGGTGTGCACAAGCTTAGCCCTGAACACAAGGAAGGAAATGACAAATAATCCACTAGGGTGAATGAAGTGCCGGGCATAAAACTCCTTTCTCCACTCTACTTACCATCCCCCTTTTTATTGCTAAATATAAAAGAATCTATTAGCTAGTGGATTGGCAAGACTATAGTAAAGTCTAACTCAACAGATAATTTGAGAGGGAATATATTTATGGCAGAAATTCAAGGGCAACTGCTTAAAATACACGTGTCTACAGAAAGACAGAATCAGCAGACAGCATACTGGGGTAGCACTAGAATAGAAAGAATGCATCCTTGTCCCTCGGCTATCACCAAGAAATACTCTTCTTCCTTCCTGCCAAAGCTCCCAAGATCAGTGCTGGTAAGAGCACAGGTTTTAATCCTGGCGTCTCCTTTTGCTAGTTAGGTGCCCTTGGGTGAGTATTTCACCCATTGAAAGGAGTTTTTTCCTCCACAGAATGATGGGCTGGCAATGGCATCAATATGGGGGCAACATGATAAAGGAGATGATAAAACATACAGCAGTGTGTTTCACATTCACCTGCTGCCCTGGCTTTCTCACCAAACCTCTTGGTTCTGAACCCTTGCATTCTGGCTTCTGTCTAGATGGCTCTACTGAGAAGTTCTTGAGATGCTAAGATTCCTCTTGTCATCAAGGTCAGTATACATCTATTTTAGCCTGTATCCTCCTTCACGGTTTTACAGTAGTCAATACTGATAACCTTTTTGACATTCTCTTGGCTTCTGGACAGGGACCCTCTCCTTTTCCCTCCTCTTTGTTGCCAAGTGTTTGTCTCCTTGCCTGCTTCCTCCCCTTCTGCCCAATGCTCACATGTGGGTGTCTCCAGGGTTCTTTTGGAGGCCTGGTTTGACCATCATCTCCGTAGCAGCGTGAACTCAACAAGAGAGCAAGAACAAAGAGTCCACCATCCTAAATGCGGATGATGTTCAAACTTTCATGTCTAACCTTGACCTCTCACCTGAACAACAGAGCCAGATGTCCCTCAGGTAACTCTGTGTCCTCTACACTGAGCTGCTTCCTGTTTCTGGAAGGCCATCTCCAAAGTGTTCTTCTGAAGTCTTACTCATGCTTAATGATATCAGTAGGAATGCCCCCTTCCTTTATGAAGAAAACCTTTATCTCCGTGGTTGCCTGTGGTCAGCTCCACCTGAAACCTTCCTGCTTCCTTTCAGTCCCTCCACATATGTCACAGTACTGTAACCACAGCCTTCAAGGCTACCTAGGACACAACTGCTACTGGGATATAAAGTCATTTGTCCTGAAGTCACGGGCTACAGCAGAGCGTCCTTTAGTCTCATTGTAATGGACACTAGCAGGGAAAACAATCCCTCACCTAGATGTTCACAGAGGCTACCTAACTGGTTCTCTGCTTTTTTCCCTTTTTGGGAAGAAAGCCTGTTCAGTTTCTTCTTAGGATCAGCCAGAGTCAGCTCTAAAAAGATAAATTAGACCATGCCAGTCACTTACTTAAATACCTGCAGTAGTAGTAGTGTTGCTGTTAAGACGTTATCAGTTCTCTGGTGCTCGGCAAGCTCCAACTGCACTGACCTCCTCTACGTTCTTGTACACAGCAAGCTTTTTCCCACCCCAAGACTTGCACCTGTGGCTCTTCCCCGTGTCTAGAATGCTGCTGTGTGAGGCCAAATGAAGAGGGAAACACCACCATCTGGCCCAGACTACCTTTCCTGCCTTGTGGATCCCCTTTTTGTTTCACGGTCTGTACATTCCAGCCAACAAGAAACGACTTGCTTTTCTGCTGCTCACATGGATCCCTCCTACAGTGGAATGCCCTCCTTTCCCCAGACTCTTTCTCATCATGGTCCAACTGAAGTGCCCATCTGCTTCTCTCAAATCTTCATTCTAAGACTGGAACTACATTCTTCTTCCAGCCTTCCAGAGCCCACTCCTGCACATCACTGACGTGGCTAGCCTTTTGCACTTCTAGAGCGGCCTGCTATTGTGAGAGGAGGATGGACTTTGGAATCTGGAAGACTTGGGTTGGGGTCCTGACTGCCTCTTACTAGCGGCCTGACCTTGGGCGCATGATGTTACCCTCTCTGAGCTTCATTTCTCCCATGTGTAAATGGAATCAGAAACGCGACCGTTTTCAGGCCCGGTGTGAACATTCCACAGCAGCACACGTCATAGCGAATGCTCTGCATGCGGGGTCTCTTTCCCTTCGCTTAGCGTCCCCGCACAGCGCCCCCGCAGGTTCCCTGTAAGCGCAGGGGGGTGAGCACGACTGCTTCCTACTCACTCTCAGTTCCGGCGTCCCAGCCGTTCTTCCGGATGGAGTCGCAGTCGGAGCGGCAGGGGGACACCGCCGGGAGGTTGGGGGCCACGCTGCACACGACCACGCCCCGCCGGGCTGTCAGGATGCGGGGCGACTCGGGGTGAAACGTGGTCATCTCCTGGTGCTCACCCCCCAGCCCGTCCACGATCTTATCCAGGTTGCTCCTGGAGTCGCTCTGGAAGCAGGGCGTGTAGGCCATGGGGCGCACGGGGACCTGCGGGGGCCCCACCTCCTGGTAGACGTTGCGGCCGTCCCCGCCGCCGCGCAGGTTCCGGAACGGGATGCCGTTGCTCTTGTTGAGCAGGGCGGCCGTGGCCGGGTCCTGCACCAGCGTGATGTTGTTGCGGGAGTAGTTCTTGCGGAAGACCTTCTTGCGGAAGACGATGAAGAGGACCACCAGGATGAAGATGACGAAGAGCACCACGGCGATGCCGATGAGCTCCTCCTTCCCCACGTAGGAGTGGCCGGCCTGGATATTGGGCACCACCACGGGGCGCAGCCCGCAGTACTGGCCCACGTAGCCCGGCGTGCAGTTGCAGAGGAAGGAGCCGAACACGTTCACGCAGGAGCCGCCATTCTCACACTCCTCTCGCTCGCACTCGTTGATGTCCTCCTCACACCTGTGGGGACACAGAATCCCCTCCCCACCATCAGGACCTGTGCCCACACGGTGGTATACGGGAGCTTGGGAAAACATGGACATCTTTAAAAGAAAATGATACACCTCAAGGGTACAGATGAAGCAGGACAAAGATGGTTGGTCAGGGGAGGAGGAACTAATTTAGGCATTTCTGTGGCCACTGTGGTCCCAAAGTCATCACCTTGCCTTAAGGTGTTCCTCTCAACCCAATCTCTCCAAGGTCCTACCTGGGTTGGGGGAAAGAAAGACTGAGGTGGGAGAGGAGAGAGGGAGAAAGAACAGATGCTATCCAAAAGGTACTGGTCTCCAAATCCTTGGGAGCAGATGCATCTCAGAATTTAAAATTGTGCAATTTTAGCAAGGACATACAGCACCTAACTTCTACGTTACGTAAAATACCCCTCCCCCTCGCAGAAACTGGTGCTGGCCGTAGTATCCCATCATCAAATACACCAGTGTTTCTGCATGAAACATATGGATATTCACACTAAATGAGAGAAATAAGGAGTAGAAAGAGCCTCAGTAGTTTTGAACAGGTTTTGCCACCAAATTAGTTTGCTGCTAGCATACCCCAAACCGTTTAAGTTCTCAGAGCTTTTGGGATTGTAGAATTGCAGACAAAGAGCTGTGAATCTACATATCGGTTACAGGTTTTCCCCAGAGGAAAGTCTTTGGTTCTGACGTTTTCCTCTAATGGCTACAGTGATTTTTGGTACCTCTGGGAAGCTGGGGGCTGTAAAGGGTGAGTGGGCGGAGGGCTACATGCCTTCAACATTCTGTGCTTATGTTAAAGGCTAATACTAATGTAGATTTTCAGGAAAAATGACTAAAGCATTCTAATGAAAAATAATTAAATCAATTTTATTCTTTTTAAAGCAATCCATGGCTCACTTTGAGTATAATTACAAGGCAAGTGTTTCAGTCTTTTTCTTAGCTTAATATTATTTGAGAACATAGACCTTCTTTTTAACTTTATTTCAGCAATTGTTCTGATGTGTTCATTTAAAAGGTCCAATCACCTATATTTTTGATAATCTACCTTTTAAAATGTAGCCAAACGTCCCTAATTTGAACAGACAGAGGTGAGGTCAGCCGGAAATTAGTCAGAATCACTGAGTATTTAAAAATAAATGCTGCTTTATTACTTTAAATTACATCCAACGATTCAAAGTCAGCTAAGTATTTCCTGGTAAAGTCCTCGGGAGATTTGCACTAATGAATACATAAGACTGATCTGTAATTAGAATATCGCTTGCTTGAGATTATATATACTTCTAAAATGATCAAGGATGGCTGAAAGTGGCATTTTACTAGGAATTTTAAACTGTCCCTTTCATTTTGGTAAACAGTTAATTTCGCTTATTTCTTAGGGGGGAAAAAAGGTTTGCAAAGGAAAGGTAAGTTTCAATTTCTCAGAATGACCAAAAAACAATAGGCTTATAGAGTCCGCTTAATGGATTCTGGGGAAATGGGGTAGTGTGTCTACCTCAGAATTATAACTATTAGGTTGCCTAGATGACTTTCTTTTTTCCCTAGTTAGGGACTACATAGTAATCATACACAATTTTGAAGATACAGGGAAGCATAAAATAAAACATATAAATTTATTGTAAACAAATAGGACAGGTTTCAAGAGCAGAGCCTAAGATGGGGAAGAAGATGCTTTCTCCCCTACACTACTACTGTACAAGTCAGATGCTTCCAGACAGGAGTAGCTTACTATGGATAAACTAGACCCCACTATGCAGAGATAGTTCCTGTTAACATTTTCGTCACCTGTAAGCACTCCTTATACATGTCATGCAGATGTTAACCCTTTGCCTATACTATTAATGGTAAATATTTTATCCCTATTAGTTGCTTACTGGTTTGTTGTAGCAATAAAGAACAATGTAGAGAAAGATACTAATATAATCTCACTTACGTAACTCCAGTGAGCCCAGCTTTACAATTGCAGATGAAGGTGTTTCCTATTGGATCGCAGGATCCTCCATTCCGGCAGGGGTTTGGAAAGCAGGCTGTAACCTCAGATTCACAGTTTCTCCCCGTAAACTGTGAGAGACAGGTACACTGATATCCTGGGGAAACAGAGGACCTCATGAGCCATGGATGCCACTGATAAAGCTGAGTGCTTGGACTCAGTTATCACATGCCCTCCTAATTCTTTGTTGAACTGTGTCTTAGGCAGGGCCTAAATTCCAAAGCTGATTAGCAAATTGGTTGCTTCAAACATCTTGCCACAAAAATGTCAAGTTATAGTTCGGATTTCCTGCTAGTCCACAAAAATTCACCTAATTAACTACACACATGAATGCTAGTGAGAATTACAAGGCCCACCCAAGGGACAGATTTCAAGAACGGCACCCAACATGAAAAGGACGATGCTTTCTCCCCAACCCTACTACTGCACAAGGCAGATGCCTCTGGACAGCAGTAGTATGATACCATGTCAGCTTCTTTCCTGAGCCACTGTCCTATCTCCTGTGCCCTCTCTCCTTAGCCAAGTACTGAAATACAATCCAGAGAAGAAACAAAGGGAGAGCAGGTAAAAGGATATTTGTTAACTCAATTGAACCCCAGATTGGCAAATGCACAGGGAAATGGAAAGAATTCCAGCCTTCACCCAGCCCCCCTGGTCTGATCCTGATTTTTGCATTTTTTTTCACTTTCTTTACTCATAAGCCCATCATGCAGAAATCGGTAGTAATACACTTCTACTACAGAGAATATTAACTATAAGATATAGTAAGATTCTAAGAAGAAGTAGTGCTGTCCACCTCTTGAGATGCATTATCCAGATGGAAGGGATGAATAACTAGCAAGGGTGTTCATCCCTCCTTTACAAAAAAAAAAAAAACCACAAGATTTTTTAAAAGATATACATGCACATAGTAAAGAGGAAGGTAGTTCTATAAGTTCTATTTTGTCCAATAGCAGTCTTCCCCTCCATTTACACTTCCTCAGAAGTAACTTGGGCATCCCTTTTAGTATTTCAATATTTCCTTCTGTGGGATTTGACTATTTTTTGATTTTTAGTTTTAGGCATTTTCTATTGGCTTTCCATTATGCTTTCATATTTCAAACTTGTAGCCCCACCACATAGGGGTATCAGAAGAGGTGTTCTTATCTCCCAATAGATTGCAATATTGTAATTTTGGTTAAATCAATGATCAGTGTTAGCATTATGATGACAACGAAATGTTCTTTGCAGCTAAGCCATGTAGTTAGCTCTGATTATATTTCTACGTTCATGCATAAATTTTTGTTTTCCCTAGAGTTAAAAAACATCCCATGTTTTGGCTTATTTCTGAATATTGCTTGTTAATTTAACTAGAAACTCTTCATCAACCAGGTCTCTGTGTTTAGTTGCCTCCGTTTCCCTGTATTTTCATCTCCTGAATTGGTCTCTCCTGAGGCCCTCTGACCAGCTCCACCCTCACATTGTCTTCTGGCCCCGCTTTCTTGCTCTCCCCTTTTGGATCTGGTGATTCCTATATCACCTGTCTGCCTGCTTCTTTGTTTATTCTCTCATTTCACTAGAACACATTCCACAGTTACTTCCTCCAAAAGGTTTATAAGAAGAAAATTCAGTGAGACTTTGCATAGCTGAACATGTCTTTACTTCACTCTGACACTTCTTTGACAGCCCGATTGTGTAAAGAATTGAAAGCAATCCCCCCATGTTGCTTTTGAGAAATCCAAAGTCATTTTGGCTCCTGGAGTTTGTATGTGACAGAGTTGGGTTTTTTTTCCCTCTCTAATATCTTGGCGGATCTTTTTGCTTCCAGTTACCTGAGATTTTGCAATGATGTACTTTATATGGGTATATTTTTAGCTAATACTGGGTACTCAATGGGCTCTTACAATCTGGAAATTTTTGTGCTTTTACTTTGGGAAAATTTATTTTATTATTTTTTTGGTAATTTCTTTTGCATTGGTTTCTCTTGTCTGTTTATGGAACTTCTATTTTTTTGATCGCGGAGCTGCTGGACCTTCCTCTAATTTTATTTTTCTCTCTTATATTACATGTGTGAGGTTTTGCTTTACTTTCTGTGAGAGTTTATCTCCACTTTTACTGAAATTTTCATTAATTTGTTATTTTGCAAGAACTTTTATTGTGTGCTAATTTTTCTAAAAACACATAACACCCTGCTCCTGTGTTGTGGTTTCAGTATCTTCTCTGAACTGCCTGAGGATATTAATACTTCTATGGAGTTTTCTCCCTGCAGTTTTTCCCAAGTTGCTTTTTTGTTTTTGTTTTGGTCTCATTTAATTTTATGTGTCAACTTGGGTAGCCAGATGTTTGGTCAAATACTAGTCTAGATGTTGCTATTAAAGTATTCGGGTACTTGTGGATGTTATCAATTTATTTCTATTTGTAGCTGTCTGTCTCACTTGTATATGACAAAATTTATAATGAGTTAACTTTAAATGAAACATGCTACTCTCCATAATTTGGATGGGCCTTATTATTCAGTTCAAGGCCTTATGAAGGAAGAATCCTGCGCCTCAAGACTGTAACATAGAAGAAATTTTACCTGAATTTCCAGCCTGCTGGCTTATTCTGCAGACTTTGAATTCAAGACTGCAAAATGAACTCTTACATGAATTTTCAACCCGCCAGCCTGCTCACACGATCATGAGCCAATTCTCTGAAATCAGTTTCTCTCCATATGTATGTATGTGCACATGCTCATGTATATATACAAATGGTCTCTGCCTTACAATTGTTCAACTTAAGATTTTTTGACTTTGTGAAGGTGTAAAAGCAATATATATTCAGTAGAAATGTGTTTCAGTTAAGCTAGGCTAAGCTATAATGTTTGGTAGGTTAGGTGTATTAGATAAATTTTTCACTTAAGGTATTTCCAATTTAAGAATTTACTGAGATGTAACCCCATCATAAGTTGAGGATTATTTGCATATATCTTCTATTGGTTCTGCTTCTCTAAAGAACTCTAATACATTCTTCATCTTCCAAGTGAGAGGATTTCTTTACTTGTAACTATTGATTAACAGTTCACATTGAAGAGCTTACCAATAGAAAACTAGAAATCTGATGAGAGGCTTTGAGCACATTAATGGGGCTCAGCGACTGTGAAACTGAGTCAGTAGCTTTGGGATGGTCAGTTTCCCCAGACACAGCTTATCATCTGTTCAGAGGGAAGGTAATGGCCTGGTTTCTAACACTGGGAGGCTTGGTGGTGGCAGAGGACGGGTGGTTGTGAGTCTGAGCATCCAATAAGCACGCCATATTTACTTTAACCCCTGTGCAGCACAGTGTCAGGCATGCTCCAGCCCTGAGATCCTGCATTTGAACATCACCTGCAGGCTTCACCACAGCATCGGGGAAGGAGCTGTCTGGCTGTGCAGAGGGAAGGTGGGAATCCAGACTGAATCCTCACTGCCTCTAAACTGCTTTCAGCAATTCTTATCTTAAGCTTCTCTCCCTATCTCCTCCCCTTCAGACGTAAGTGGTGCTTCCAGTTCCTGAGTCTTAGGGAATTCAGTCCCCCCGAGTTTTTGGGAATTTGGTCCCTTCTATCAGTTGGAATTCAGTTCTCTAAGAACTTCTCTTCTCTCTTCCTTACCACCTGTCTCTGCCTTCCACCCCCAAACTTGTGTTGGTGTTGTCTACTTCCCCATTCTCCTCACTTCTATGGGCTTATGACTCATTTAAAAATAACTTTACTTCCACAGTAGTGGGCTTGTAACAGCAAGATGCCACCCTTACCCTGAAGTGGCCAAAAAGCCTTTCCCCATATCTAAGACCTTTGGTAAATACTGCCAAGAACCATTCTCACTCTTACTTGAAGGGCTCTTGGGCTTCTCCTTTTCCAAAGTTGTCAGTGTCTGATGTTGGGATTAAATATATTGATCTCTATAGATACGATAGTTGAAAATGTATAGCTTGAAATGGCATATGTTCTCATGGATGTTTTACTGAATCCCCGTTACAGATAACTCCCATGTACAGAAGGAAGAATGATTGTGTGTGCTTGTTCATAGGTTCACAGAAAATCTTATCCTCGTGAGGCAGGTGCAGGAGCCAAGAGAAAGCTATATATTTCCAAGTGGAGGAAACTATGTAGCCCCAGCTTTCCTGGTGCCAAAAAAACAGAGGAGAAGAGACTGAGGCTCAGAGAGATGCTTGCTTGAAGTTATGCTGACTTGGAGTTTTTTTTCATTTTGGGAAATTGCTCACCTTAATGGAAATGAAAATTGTTGAATGCAGCTGGGATTGGGAAAAATGCTTCTTTGTGTCACATGGCTAGTCATTGGCCATGATGACATGTCATTTAGACAGAGTAACTTGTGAGGAGGAATTAGATTCTCTTTTAGAATATAATCTTAACCACAGTACAGGACTCAGAAAAGCACATCGATAATGAGGGGGCAAGTCAGGAATGGGGGGAGTCCAAGGCAAGGTAGGTAAACTCTGTGAAAACTCCCTCTCCAGCTCCTCTTTGGCAACCCTCTGACAATTTCTTAGATAAAACTGTATCAGAAGCACCTGGGGGCAGGGGAGAATCAAGGAGGGGCTGTGCAGATCTAAGGGACATTTAAATCACTATAATGGAAACTGGAATCTAACTCAGGTCATGGGACTGATTTTTGATCTGATGGCAGAGAAGCAATTTGATGTCTCTGCCTTGGAAAATCAGAATTTAAAATGAGACACTACTTCTAGAACACTATTTCACTCGCACACATTTCCTTCTGAATTTTGTCATTTTCATCATCATTTGTGGACTATCTAGCACTACTTGATGCAGCAGCCAGCTTGACTGACTAACATATCCACACTGATTGGATGCCTAAGTCATAGGGGGTGGTATGGCTGATGCCAGTCACCAAGAGGTGACTTTTAAATATTCTGGAATGTGGCAGGTCAGTTATTAAACCACGTGTAGCCTGACATCAGCCATGGTGGAAGTATTTACACCACAGTAATCAGCAAGTACTACAAATCAGAGCTGTTATTTTTAGAGAACTGGTTTACCAGCACACCCCTGGAATAGGGACTATGGCAACCAGTGGGGATACAAAGAAAAATTCCATGTAGAAGCACGCTGTA